TCTTTACCCTTGCCCTAAGTTTTAAATCTAGGACTTCAAGGAATCCTGCTTTAAGTTCTGTATGATCTGCTAGAAATATTATTTGAGGGATCATATATGTTTTTAAAATGTCTACCTATTGCAGTGGTTTAAGAGGTGCTTCACTAATATGGTCCAACCAAGTATCTATTTTTGATGACAAATCTGGTTTGGCTATTTGTACCCAAGGATCAATTTGAAGGCCAAGATATTTTTCTGAGCTACCAGGGCAAACCATATTGAGGGGAGTACCACCCACAGTCCATGGTGGACAATCATTATTTGTATACGAATCTCTAGTTGGTTTAATAAAAAATCCATGACATTTCTCTCCCTGTGTTCTAAGACCAGTTAAGTTACAAAATACCTCCAAAATCTCTATGTTTTCTCTCATACCTTCCCAGGAATCACTAAGCAAGACCAAATCATCCACAAAGGTCATCGCAGTTATCGACTTAGTGTCGTAATGGTAGCCTTTTCCATTTTGTTCTAATTCACATTATAAAGGATCCATGGTCAAATTAAATAATAATGGAGACATAGGATCTCCCTGTTTAACACCCACCTTAATTTGAATCGGTTCTGATTTTTTTCTCTTCAGTGCCAATTTCTGTATAAATATTTTCATACATATTTTCAATTAGGTTTATAATATGGGAATGCACCTCTTTTTACCTCAAACCCGTAATAATATGTTGGTGACTTACAGTATCAAAGGCCTTTGCAATATCAACAAATACCACTCCCAGTTCTCTATGTTGTTTCTTTGCACTTTTTATAATAAGTTTTAATAATTTCAGATTTTCAGAGCAGCCAGGTGATTTAATAAATCCTCTTTGTCTTAAATTTATTGGTCATGCCTTTGCCAATCTCACAGTCAGTATTCTCGAAAATAACCGCAAAACAACAGACCCGATGGTAATGGGTCTCCAGTTATTGATGTCATTTAATCGGTTTGGCTTAGTTGATTTTGGTATTAATATAGTTCGGCATCCCCTCAATGAGTCAGGTATCTTTCCAGATGTTAACCATAAATTAAAACGTTCTGTTATCTCAGAATATTTGGGGTCCATTTTAATTAATTCTTTTATTGTAATTTCATCTGGTCCTGAAGCTGCATTTTTGCTTGTCTCCTCGATGTTTTTAGCTATTTCTCTGTAATCATAGTTTTAAAGGCGCTGTTATCTGCCATTCTCTTGGATCAAAAATGTCCAAGGCCTTTAAACTTTCCAGTTGTTTCCCATCTAGATTTGAACACAGAGAATACCTCTGGAAGTGATACTTCACATTTTACAGATTCAACCTCATCAAGAATAATATTTGCCAATTTTTCTCTATCTTTATGAAATAATTTCTGATATCTCAAATATTGTCCCTTTTTAATTGCCCTTTTTTTCATCCAATTTGCTGCTTTTCTCTTACTTTGTGTTTCCTGGGCTTTACCTTTTTCTGGTTTAATTTTCCTTTCAGTTTGACATCTAGCTTTAAGCTGCCCATACCAATCCTCTGTAGCATGATTGATTAGAGTAAGTTGATCTGTAGTTCCCTCAACAATTTTGCAGAATGCCCTGGAATAGATGTTAATCGTTCATGATTTTATCCCTTTCATGATCTTTTCCATATAATGTGCTCTCAATTGATCTAGGTTCGATGTTTCGATCACTGAAATTAGCTGTTTCTTTCCTTTTTCTACTTGATACATACTTCCTAATCTTTCTTTTCCTTACGTACAGGTTTCTGATCTTTCTTTTCCTTACTTAGAGGATTCATGTACCGCCATTTGTCACTAATATGCTTGAGTATTTTAGTTGGAATATGCTCAGCGATTAATTTATTAATATCTATCTCTCTCTCGTATTGCTTTACTAATTTTTCCAGTAGTTCCTCCTCCTCTTTCGTCCAACATTTACGGGTTGATTCCCGAGTCGTTTTCACTTTAGGTCGAGCAGCATCAATCCTCTCCTGATTTCTAACCTCTGGGTGAGTATGCCTTTTATGTAGTCCCAAGCCTCTTATTGTTTGAAAACTCCTTCCACACTCCTCACATATACAATCACCAGATGGAGTCACTTCAGTGGCACCTTTGCACAATGGATAGTGACAAACAATAGAGCGGTAATTCTCACTTTGTAGACCACAAGCAATACATTGGAAAATAATCTTTCTTTTTCCATGAGATCTTAAAAGGTGGTCCACTAACTTTTCTATTCCCATAATCTTAGATTTACAACAAGGACAAGATGGCGTTTTGTCCGGTAACTTAACCAGTGGTATTTCTCCTAGCAAATTATCTTTCTGGGGGTCTAAAATTCAGTAGCTAGAACAAAAGAGTCCTCTCCATCTCTGTCAGCATTACCAGATAAAATGATGTCATTTTCACTTACAGAGTCTGATGGTAATGACTCATAAACTTCCGGGTATAAAGCAAATTTTTCCTGTTGGTCAGTAAATTCAATTACTTGCCAGTCCTCTATCTCTTTTGAGTTAGAGAACTCTAGGTTTTGTAATTCAATGTCATCTGATGGTATTGTTACTGGGTTTATTGTTTCATTTAATTTGGTTATTACAGGTTTCAAATCATTAATATCCGTCTGTGTGGCTGTTGATACATACATAAACCACATCAACAGCCCCATTTTGCGGTATATATAGTTTACCAATCCAAGTGAGGGGGTATAAGGTTAACAGTTATCCTCAATTTCTGTCAACCTGTGCCCAACTAAAACCCGTGAGCAAGGTATTGGGTAATTCACTTCATAAGGTATTACCAAAAAAAAACTTGTTTCACTGTTACACATACCTTATAGACCCCAAGCTAGTGGGCAAGTAGAAAAAAATGAACCATCTTATCAAAGAGCAGATGGCCAAAATATGCCAGAAGACCAATTTACAATGGTATCAAGCTTTACCTATTGCTCTAATCAGGCTAAGAGTTAAGCCTCAGTCTAAAGAAAAACTGAGTCCATTTGAAATCTTGTATGGAAGGTC